GGGGGTTCCCAACTCGAGGGGTTGGGGGAGAGGAGAAGTCCCAACTCTTCACTTATCTTTAAAAAGAAAAAGAGATTTACTTTACAATTAATAGTAGCATGCCCAATTGCCACAGTGCATTCAGTGTTTGTAGCTGGCAGTGACACAAATGTCTCACTCAAGTACATCATGCTACTGTGACTATCCATCTGATAGCTAATATTACCTCTGACATTGCGTCATGTTGAAAACCACTGGGTATGTATCACCACTCGGAGAGAAAGGCAGCAAAAGCAGATGTCTGTGGTGTAGTGGCTAGGCTAGATATCTAAAAACGAGGCTGAAGACCCCAGTTTGATTCCTCTTTGTTGAGAATTTTTATTGAGTATCTCAGTCTTTCTGGTGGAATGTTGTATGCCTCTCAGCCACAGTTGGCCATGATAGGCAGGGCAGAAGCTTGCCTCCTAAATAATCTAAATTGTGCTGATAGATACATAAAATCACCCAAACTAGAAAGCAGAAAATGAAGGTGGCAAAATAAAGACTTTTCTTTATACCCCTTATCACCAACTTGCTTAAAGATTTATGATTGACGGGAAGATTACGTCAATGATGAAATTTGGAGCTTGTGAGACATGTCAGGAAATCATTTTACCAGCATGCATGTATAGACAGTGATGACAAATTTTTGTTTTTAGTATGTGCGTTTCTCTTATAGTGAAGTTATCGTAAAATCTGTTTAGATCATACAGTACACATGCATGATGATAACTTTTTCAAAATTGATTTTCAAATGATTTTGAATAAATGTGTGTTTTTCAAACCACAGGATATTTTTTGGTACATATTTGTGGAGAAATTTCAGCCAAATACCATTACTCAAGCAAAACTGTTCAATCGAGTAGCTCACAACTATGTGAAGTTGATGATGTATAACAGTGATCTGTTCTCCAAGGATACATTTTTTAAGGTAAGAGATTTCTGCAGAGTTACATAAAAGTGTATAATTCTATAATAATAATAATAATAATAATAATAATAATAATAATAATAATAATAATACTAATACTAATGCCACTACCACCACCACCACCACCACCACCAATAACATAATAATATTGCTTTTATATTGCGCATATCCACAATCTACAACATGTTCTTTGTACATAACAATCATATATATTTGTTAGTTTTGTTGCAATAATTTCAATGTGGTAGGGTTATTAGACTGCATTCGAAAGGCTGTGGGCAATATCTTGTGTTTTTTAAGAAGGCACTTTGTAGTTGGACAAGGTTGGGGTGGTTTTAGTCTGAGTGCAGACTAGTGCCCTGCATTGTAGTGGTCATGGTATCCTTTGAGCCTCTCGACTGTATAGATACTGGGATGGGCTCCTGCTCTTTGGGCTGTACAGTATGCACCTCAGTGTAATGAATCTAGTGGTTAGTAAAGCAGAAACACTGAAAAATGTTTGTTTTTGATGTTCCTAATAATGGTTGAATTCTCATTGCTTGAATTTGTTTTATCAGTCCCTTTTCTTTGCATTTTGATGTGTTCAGGTGCATTGTTTTACCATTTTCTTTCAGACCACTGTTTTGAAGATTTGAAATAGGGTTTCACACATTGTTTTATCTTTGAGCTTTCTTTTCAGTCCAGAATCTTGTGCTTGAGGACATACGTTTTCAGACCTGCCACTCATCCCGATTTAATCGGGATATCCCGATTTTTTGCCCCAAATCTAAAGGATCCCGATTTTCCCGATTTCGATCGCCAGTATCCTGATTTTTTGTCGTTGCGTCTGTTGCATCCGATTCTGAGAAAAAAATATAGAAAGTTCTGCAATTTCTTTTGCTTGGAAGCACCGAGTGAACTTTTTATCGACAGGAACTTGGAACGCTCTTTTCTAAAGCATCTATGCCGAATCTAGTAGTTGACTCACGCACGTTATTTCAACAAAAATCGACGTAGTATCGATTTTGAATTCAGACTCGGACACGCTCAAGATCTACTTTCGCTTTTATAACCCGGAATTCTCCGATGGTGTCCTGATTACTGTAACAATTATGACTTAGCCTAAGAATAATATATTCGTTGTTCGGCCATGCCGTTGCTTTAAAAGCAAGCTCGGTCTGAGTGCTGGTTAGTCGGGCCCATCATCAAGACCTGTCTGTGAAACTTTCAAACGCTCATTCGCATCACGTGACCTAGCTGACCTCGAACGTGTGAGTAGTGCGTGTGTCGGGGATTGTTGGTTGTCGAGGACAACAAAGTTCATTCACACTGGTCGAGGTGTTTCTCGGGACTTAACCAGTGTGGACGATCGGGGGAGGGGGGGGGGGGGGTGAATTTTTTTCATTTGGGCTTATTGCACGTGCCGTGATACAGATACTAACTGAGGGGAAAGGAATAAGAAAAAAATAAATAAATGAACAACCTTCGCGCGATCTTTTTTTTTGGTTTTTTTTTTTTGGGGGGGGGGGGGGGTGCCTTGGTTGTATATGCGATGGAAGTCAAACGTTGTTACTGTATGAAAACGCGGTCTTTTTGCATGGATGATTAGAGTTATGTGCCAGCTATTTTCAAGACTACGAGAGTTTCAGCATTGTTGCAATCTGTGCTCCCCCAGTCTATCCAACTTCGACTCGAGTACATATATGCTGTCTTTCAGTTTTCTCTCTATTTAGAGGCCCAAACGTGAACTTATTCCCACAAAAGTTTTGTTTTGTATACTTGCCTCATAAAAGGGAACCAGGAGACCTTCCCCAGTGTCCCTTATGACTGATTTGCCGTTGATCCCGATTTTTTTCAACAGATCCTGATTTTTTTACTCAAATATCCTGATTTTTAGATTTCATAGAGTGGCAGGTCTGCGTTTTAAACAAATGTGAAGAGGAGAAAGGAGTAATTTTTGTGTAAACACTGTTTATATGAAGTTAGAAATCTCTCTTTGTCTGTGACAGTGACATTTCACTTTGGTTTATATTGATACAATTTGAACATTTTCTCCACAGGATTACCCAAAGCTCATGTCTCAGGCTGTGTATGCATCCTTCTGCTTTGCTTTTCCTGATTCTTACAGGCAGTTTGGAGAAGTTTTTAAAGATGAGCTCATCTTTTTGGTCTATGAATGGATGGCGGGTAAACAAATTTTTCGTATAGATGAAATAAATTTATCACTTTTGTAAAGCGAATATGTCATTTTGAGGGTGGTAGGTGATTTAAGGACTCTCTTATGTAGGCAAATAAACTTGATTTCTTTCCATTTTTTCCCTTTTCATTTCTGTATTTGTTCAGGGGTTTTCCCTTTAGATATTCAAGAAATGTAGAGTTTTAACAGACGATATCATGCCTTATGCGATTCGGTTATGCAAGTTTGCTTTTTAGCTTTGACTATTATATGGTTTAGGAGGCAAACCTTTTTTTCCGTAATATATTGCTTGAGAAAGGCAGTGTTGTCTTAGATGTATATTTTGTCCTTCTTACTGAACCAGTTTTGAAGAGCATTTATTTTGTTTACACTAAAACTTGAAAGTTGTGTGGGCTAAAGATTTCTTCCCAACACTTACTGTACTGTCTTCTTGCTCTGATGTTCAGGTATTCGACCAGCTCCTCGTAGCTGGATGTCGTGGGACATGTCCAACCTGGAGCCACCAAACATCAAGCTCAGGGAGGAGATGATGAATCGGAAGAACAGTAAAAAAGGTACTGTCAAAATTGAGACAGCTACCCATTGTCGAGAAGAAAAGTGGCTGTCTTAGACAGGTGGACATTTTACACAGTGTCATTCCAATGTGAAACAGATGGCGGTTAGAGCAGGTTTGACTGTAAATGTAAGAGTCTATATTTCTAGTGCGTGTGCTGACCTGTTGCCATGTAGAAAATATAGGTTTGATTCCTCGCTGAGTAAGTTAGTTCCTTCCACCCATATGAGAATTTGACATCTGCTTTTTCAATTGGTAGAAATGATTATATTTGCAAGTCATTAATTATCCATGTCACAGAATATTTACTACGATCCTTTTTGCTGTAAAAGATTCTACGGTACACTCAAGTTCTATAGATCCCTATGGACAAGGAAAGAGCTTTTCTATTTTAAAAAAAGCCACAGAGGTAATTTTAGATCATGAAAACCTTTTCTTTGTAAAGTTAAATAATTGGAAACAAGTGCTCTCAGTCTCATGAATTTCAAATTCTCTGGATCTGTACAGAGATTTCGAGTTTGACCTTTAAAAAAAATCCAAATAACTTCTAAGGTTTTATTGCACAAAAGTTTCCATTCATATCTGTGCTTGTATTTGAACATATTCAGCTGTGTTCACCAAAACACTCCTGTTTGTTTACAGCCAGCTCCCTCATAGACTTCGACTACCTGGATTCCTTGATCTCCACCAATGCCAGTCAGTACGCCTCTACCATGTCACTGGCTCAATCTACATCCAAGTCTTCTGCCAACTCAAACCTTGGACCCCGTAAAACTCGTATGCATGCTCGTATCAGCAAGGTAATTTTGCATTTTATGACTACGAGTATGACTACTACAGTAGATTGTAGCAAATGAAAAAGACATAAAACGAACTTGTCTGAACATCTGTAAAGCTCTGGTTTGGTCTTAAATCCGTTACTGTTAAACAACATATTGAGAATGAGAGTTATAATGATTAACTATCTAGAAATTTGTGGGATATTGCATTTGTTTCAATATACCTGCCATACAAACAAGGTGTGAAAAGTCAAGACTACTCAAATTTTGTGAAAAAGTAGTGCATAAAAAGGTGTATAGAACTGAGGTTCTATTGTAGGTGATTACCTGCTCCTTGTTTAGCTTTAAAGCACGACATGGCATCAGCTGTACAAAATGGAAGGCAAAGCAGCTTGAATGAGAGCTGGAGAGGTCCTTCATCGCTGCATGTATTATATGTGTTACAAAACATGGGGGGTGGGAGGGGGGGAAGAAGAAGCTGTGTAGTGTGAGAGTGAGAGATTTGATCAGAAGATGGAAGGATACAATCAGACATGAAAGTTCACACAGATTTCTGATTTGTCCTAATAGGTCACTCACAAGCCAATGATCCGCTCTTCTTCGCCAAACAAGTCACAGTCGCCCACATTGTCTCAGGACTCAAATGTCATTGATGCCGTCGCTGATGCTCAAGGCAGCCCGAGGGTCAGGGGAGTCAACAGAGAAGGTTTGCATTTTTCTTTGTTTACCTTTAATGTGATACTAGATCACAAATAGGTCATTTTTGGGGCATACCCAATGCTGTACTTGCCTGTATGTTGGAATGAAAAGAAATAGTGTGAAAGTGAAGTAAAAAAAAAATGATTCAAACTTGAACCTACCTTAGTTGAATTTCCTTCATGGCTCTGTTTTGTATTTTTCAGGCAAGGACACCAAACGAGCTAGTGAAGCTTTGACACCTATTCGGGAAATGACCAGCGAGGATGAGGCTGACACTTTAGGCAAGAAAATCTCCCAGCTGTCTGTCAGCCAAACACGGGACAGCAAGACTGTGGGAAAAGATGAAATGGAGGTCTGCATTTTGATTTCTGACATGTTTTGCATAACTTGAGTAGAAATGAAACTCTTTCACTTTAAAAATTTCTAAAATGAATGAATAAAAATTTATCTTTCAAAATGCCTTAAGTTTTTAAAAACTTTCCAGAAAATCTTTTTTTTTCTCAAAAAAGGATGCCAGTTTTTTTAATGCTAGTGTGTTGACCTGACTCAGCAATGACAATACTCAGGTTGCGGCAAATTAAATGAGTTTTCAGTATAAAAGGACACAAGATTTTGCATTCTCTCTTTGGATCTTTGCTGCTTTTTATACAACTGCAATGAATGTCTTGTTTGACCTCATGGCACTAGCCCCTCTGACAGTGACCATGGTGCCATTGCTGAAAGAATAATCAAGGGCTTGAAGCTGTGAAGTCTTTTTGGCCACTTCAAGTGAGACCCTCATGTCAAAGCGGAGTACTTATTTCAGAATTGATTCAACTTATTGAAATGAGAGTGAGCTGCTCTTGAATGTTGTTGTTACGCACATTATGTAGGATGTATGGGAAGATGATACTATATCTTATGGTTGCATTGGACATCTTTTCTTAAACCATCTAGACAGTGTGAATATGTTGATGATACTGATAAAAGTGAAAAATGGTCTGCAGGCCTCTATTTTTTTTCCTTGAGAAGGTCAAATGAATTCAACAAGCAGACCAAGGGAGCTATTTGAAAGCTGTGTCAGCTTGCCACAAGAGGAGGCTCAGCATGCAAAAAAAAATATCTCGTTAACTTTTAATGTCAAATTCTTTTCCTCAGTCACATCCAGTTGGAAGGGGTTGTGATTTTGTTCGCTCAGCATTCAATGTTGAGGGAAAGAGTCCTCTAGTGGCACATTTCTTGAGCATGAAGGGTCTGCGCAGGGATGCTGGCCAGCTGGTATGGATGCAGCGGGTGGAGGTGGAGAACCTGCCCTCATATCCTTTACCTCGCCGAGTTTATGGTCTTCTTTTCAGGGGTTACTATAATGTGTACTTATTTTTGACTGGTAGCAAACTTAACAGCTTAAAAATTTTTTTTTCAGAATATTTCCTCATGTTATTCCTGGGTGTTGAGATGTTGTGTTCTGAATCATATCCGTGGCATTTTAGTGCATAACACGAATGGTTTTTCCTTTCTGAAATGAAAGTCTGATTTTTGTTCTTAGCCTGCTTTAATAGCCTTTTTTTTTGCAAGTTTTTACAAATTTTCATTTGGTTAGCAAATAAATGTGCAGTGATTAATGTTATACTTCTCTCGAGGAACATATTGGAAAGTAATGAATTCAGTTATAATTTTCACACAAGGGGCTGTGATTATGTAACCTTTGTTGTCTTTTCATCTATTTAATATCTTGCAGATGGACTTTTGGCCAAATTTTTTATCTTTAAACATGGCTGATGGATTATTCTACAGTCTATAGTGGGTTTCTTTGTTAATGTAAATCCTTTTTTTTTTTTTGTTAGCATCTATTTTATGTAAACCCAACCTCTTTTCTTCATGTATGATTAAGAGGCATATTATATCAGTTTATCATGTACTCTTTTTCACATAACAACATTTTTGTGAATTAATTTCAATCAGTAAAATAGTGTGATTGTTTGAGGCCTTCAAAATGAATTTACTTTTCTGTAATAATAATATGTTACTGTAATATTAAAAGCAATTACTGTCCCTCTACTTACGGCTATGTAATAATAACTTCTATGTTGTCTGGGAAATTGTTGTCTTCTTGTTTGAATTCTTTTACAAAAAAGTTTGAGACATGTCATAAAGCTGAATTGGTATAACGAAATAGTCAGAACTTTGAACATAGTCAATAGTTGATAAGAATGATTACAGTGCTTGCATTGTTTATCCTTAATTCACACTCACTTTGGATGCTCCAACCTACAAAGATCTCATCACAGATTCTTCAAAGACTATCAAAAAGATTGAGAAGAACTACCAGGAGTAAGTGCTGTACTGCAGTGGTCCTTCTATGTTATGGCCCCCTCCCCTCCCTTCCCCCTCCCCTCCCCTCCCCATCCCGCTCCCCCTTCTCTTTCCCCGCTCCTGCCACCCCCCCTCCCGAATGACCTGATTTCACATTGAAGATCCATATGGCTATGTAAAAAAACCCAACTGTTTGCCAAGCATACTGCAACCACACTTTTATTAAGATCTACTTGTGCAAATACTGAAGTTTTTTTTATAATTTGGGAGGGTGATTATTATGATAAAGTTTGCTATTTTAGGGATGTTATTCTTTATGGTTATAGATTTGTGAGTGCATTTACAGTGTGTCGAAAAGCTTCCTTACATTGCAAATATGTATGTATGCTTACTGAAAATATGCAACCCTAGGTATTTGTAATTGCTGACCTTTAGCCCTAATGTCATGGCTCCGTTATTATGAAAACATTGAAAGAGAGAGAATTTCGGGGGAAAATGAGAAAAATTAGTTACTTTGGATTTGAGCTTTGGTCGTTCAACTGCATAACAAAGTCCGTTAATGAAGAAGAAGAAGAAGAAGAAGAAGAAGAAGAAGAAGAAGAAGAAGAAGAAGAAGAAGAAGAAGAAGAAGAAGAAGAAGAAGACGTTCATGTCACCTTTCCAATTCACACCTTACCGCTCAGTTCTCTCACCTGTGTTGCAGCATGTACCAGCGTACCCAGCAAGAGAGCCAGGTGT